CAGTTTATGGGGACTCAAATAAATCTGTTATGAATGAGCTCTCTAGTCTGTGAAAATTATAACCAGTGTGGAAGGAAACAAAAACTTGAAATGAAAAGATTCTAATGTCCATCATTATTAAATACATAAATTTTATAGAATTCATGTTTGAAATATCATTTTAGTTTCCTCCAACATGACTTCTCAAATATTCATTTTTTCTCATGATTAGAAAACAATAGTATAGTTAGTGCTTTCTCTATCCATCATCCACCTTAACACATCATAGGTTATACTGATTTTCTGCTGACTCATAGACAAGGAATACAATTTTAGTGTCCCTCATGACTGGAGGACATTTTAAGCAAAAGTTGTGGAAAATGCGGTACATTTTCATAATGTGATTCTATTCAGTTGCAAAGAAAAAAAGAAAAAAGAAAATCTGTCAACAAATGGATGGAACTGGAGTGTATTATATTGAATCAGCTAATCCAGACCCAGAAAGACAAGCACAGCATACCTGTTCTTTATTATTTTTGAATCCTAGATCTGAACTTTTAGATTTGATTACATAACCTGAAGTAATCATAGAAGCCAGGAAAATAGAAAGGGATCATAGGGGTGGGAGAGTGGGAGAGGGAACTCTGGAGAGGAGTATAATAGGACAACAGGTTCTATGAAGAGGTAGAGGGGGGAAAATGAGGGTAGGTCATTAACTGTGGTGTCAGGATCAGGGTATTACCGAAGGAGAGGAAGAAAAGAGAGATAACACTAAGTATATTTGAAAAACATCATTAAGGAAAGATTATTGTACAAGGTTCATTAAAATACATATATGCATGTTTGTAAACATACATATTTTAAAATTTTATTAGTATTTGAAAAAGCCCCACTGCATACAGAAGTAGTCAAAGAATGAAAAGAACTTGTTTAAAATTCAAATTTTCATCTAAGGTAAAGTTCTCTCATGGATTTACAAGTGGACACTACAACATGAGCATGTATTGAGCTTTGAAAATGTAAAATATCTTGAGATAAGATTGAAAGAATTTACACAAAGTGTACTGCATGTATGAACTCATTTCTATGTCTCTTTAATTTTAGTTACCCTTTCTTGCTATGCTTTCTAAATACTATGCCCACACATGTTTGTTTACATATGTACATGTGTACATTATAAGCTAGGATATATATGTGAAAGAAAACTTGCTAATTTTACTCTCTGAGATTGGGTGACCTTGCTTACACATTCTAGATCCATCCATGTTCCTGAAAATTTTATTGTTCCATTTTCCCTTAGAGTTGAATAATATTCCATTTTATAAATGTACCAGGTTTTCATTATCCACTCATGTGTTGATGGACAACTAGATTGATTCCATTTCTGTGATACAGTTAATATAATAGCAGTAAATATGAATGTGCAAATAGCTCTATAATAAGGTTGAGTCTTCTCTGGATATGTGTCCAGGAGTGGGATAATTGGGTCATATGGTAGCACTATTCTTAATTTTTTAAAGAACTTCCAAAATGATTTCCATAATGGCTGTACTAATTTGCATTCAGACGAGCAGTGAATATGGGTTACTCTTTCACCATTCTCCACTTCCTCTCCAATGTTTGCTGTCATATTACTTTTACTGTTTTTACTTTTTAAAAAACTTACTTATATCTTATGTGTATGAGTGCTTTGCTTACATATATGCAAAGTGCACCTGAGTGTGCAATGACCGTGGAGGCCAAAAGAGGGCATTGGAACCTGAAACTGGACTTACTAACAATTGTGAACTACTATGTGGGCACTGGGAACCAAATTTGGATTCTCTACAAAAGCATCTAATGCCCTTAACTGCTAAGCCATCTCTCCAGCCCCATGTTTTTGGATTTCTTGATGATAGTCATTCTGACTGAGGTAAGGTGCTATACCAAAGTAGTTTTAATTTGTATTTCCCTAATGACTGGGATTTGAACACATTTTAAAATAGTTGTTGGCTATTTGTATTTCTTTTTTTCTGAAAAGTATTCAATTTGTTGATTGTTAATATTACTTCCCTGATATTTAATTTCTGCATTTTTATGTAAATTGTAGATATTAGAGATATACTGAGGCATAGATGGTAAAGAATTTCTCCCATTCTGTGGAGATGTTGGTGTCTTCCATTCTGTGGGATGTTGGTGTCTGCTGATAGCTTTCTTTGCTGTGAAGAAACATTTTGATTTTATTGACTGACATCTGTTTACACTCTGGGCTATTGATGTTCTGACCAGAACTACCTACCTCAATGTCCTGAAGCATATTACCTATATTTATGTTTAGGAATTTTAAGTTTTCATGTTTTATATTAAGATCTTTGATTATTTAAATTAATTAAAATATTTATTGGTGCTGGGGAGATGTCTCAGCACTAAAAAGTACAGGATGCTCTTGCAGAGAGCCTGGATTCAAATTACAGCACCATATGGCAGTTAATAACCCCCTGTTACTCCAGTTCCAGGGTATCCAACACTCTTTATGACTTCTACAGGCATTCCATGTCACGAATGAGCTTACACACAGGCAGACAATACACTCATCCACATAAAAATATTTTATTAGTTTTTAAATATTTTAATTGAGTTTTTGTGCATTTCATATAATAGATCTTAATCAAATTTAGACCCTCTTCCCCACCCGCACTCCCCAAGGAGTTCCCCCCCCCACCACCAGATTTCATGTATTCTGTAATAAATATAAAGTCCCTTCTGGTCAAGGATTTTCACCAAGATATCCTCCAGTGCAAGTTCATCCACTAGTATATAGTCAGCCTATCTAGTCTCTCCCTTAAAGAAGAATTGCTTTCCCTTACCCAGCAGTAATCAGTTGCCAATAGTTCCTAGGTTTGGGTTTGTCCTAGCTTGTTCTTCATTGCTGTGACAAAATGCTCTGACCAATACCAACTTGGGGAGGAAAGGGTTTACTCAGCTTACATCTCCCAGGTCACAGTTTATCAGGGAGCCCAAGGTAGGAACTCAGGACAGGAACCTGGAAGCAGGAGCTGGAGCACAGGCCGTGGAGAAATGCTGCTTACTGGCTTGCTCTCTGGCCCCTGCTCAGCCTGCTTTCTTATACAACACAGGCCCACCTGCCCAGGGGTGGCACCACCCACAGTGGGCTGGGTCCTCCCACATCACTCATCAAGATGCCCCTCAGACATGGCCACAGGCCAGTCCAATAGAGGCAATTCCCCAACTGAGGCTCCCTCAACCCAGGTGTGTCAAGTTGACACTAAAATTATCCAGCACGGGGTTGGAACCTGCTGTCCATTTCCCTTGTTCTATGCTGGGTATTTATTATTTTTATTTTACATGTATAAGTTTATTGCTTACATGTCCATAAGTGCACTCATGTTGTGCAATGCCTGCAGAGATCAGAGAAGGGCGTCAGATCCCCTGGAACTGGAATGTGTCATGTGGGTGCTGGGAATGAAATCTGGCTCCTCTACAAGAACATCCAGTGTTTTTAACCACTGATTCATCTATTCAGTTCCTTCAAATTAATTTTTGAACAAGGTAAAATTGGAATCAGTTTTGTAATCTGCCACTTCCTGAAAATGTTAATCATTTCCAATAGTTTCCTGGTAATTTTTTTGATCTCTTAGGTATAATATATTATCTACACAATAAAGGATAATTTGACCTCTTGTTTTCCAATTAGTACACCATTAATTTCCTTCTCTTCTCTTATTGCTCTTGTACGAACTATATTAAAAAGGAGTGGAGATAGTGAATAACCTTATCTGGTCTCTTATTGTAATGGAAATACTTCCAGTTTTTCATCATTTAGAATGATATTGGCTCTGGGTTTGTGGTGTACAGCTTTAATTATATATAGGTATGCTTCCTCCAGTCCAATTTCCTCTAGGAATTTTAATATATATGCATGTGGAATTTTGTCAAAGTTCTTTTCTGCATCTTGAGATGACCATGTAATTTTTGTCTTTGAGTGCATTTTTGTGATTTATGACATTTATTGACTTATGTATATTGAACTGTCCATGCATCTCTGGAATAAAGTCAACTTGATCACAGTGGATGATCATTTTGATGTGTGTCTGTGTTTGGTTTGCAAGTATTTTGTTGATAATTTTTGCACCTATGTTCATTAAGTATATGGGTCTATGGTTTTCTTTTTTGGTTGTATCTTTACCTGGTTTTGATATTAGAGTGATGCTGGCTTCATAAAAAGAATTTTGGAATTTTCCCTCCGTTTCTATGTTTTTGACCATTTTAAGTAGTATTGATTGTAGACTAACTTTAAATGTCTGGTAGAATTATGCTGTAAATCCATCTGGGCCTGGGCTTTTTTCAGTCAGAAGGTTTTTAACTATAGTTTCAATTTCCTTATATGTCCTGGGTGTGTTTAAGCTGTTGATCTCTTCTTGATTTAGCTTTAGTAATTCCTGTTATTTTAGATATCCATCCACCACCTCCAGCTCATAATATTTCTGCTACCTCTTCAGCAATGATCTGTGAGACTTGGGAGGAGAGGATGTGATATAGGTGTTATTCTAATAAATAGACATATTAAACTGACTCTTAATGATTCACTATTGCATCCATAGATTAGTGAATCTCTCACCTTTCACCAGAAAAATTGCTTCTTGCATCAAATGGTGATTAACACAGAGAACCACAACTGGTTAACATATAGAGAATAAGAGATTGCAAAGTATTTAGCCCTAAATGGGAACTTCAGTATCTTACAGTGAACAGTTTTCACATTTAATACAATAATTTCTGTAAAGACATAAAAGCATTAGAATGATAAATCTATTAAATTTTTATTTAAAAATTGCTCATATGAAAAACATTAAAGTAATTTCTAAGGACATACCTGAGGAGAAAGGAATACAAATTCCTCTAAGTCAAAGTCACAGGTTCCTCACTAAAGGACAACATAAAGCGTAACATTTTGGGGTGAAATAGGATATGAAATTAACAACATATGATCACAATTTCAATTTAATACTGTTGTTCACGGTTCATGAAGGAATACTAGCTGTCTTTTTGAAGAGTCTTTGCAGGGCCCTTTTCACATCTTTATTCCTCAGGCTGTAGATGAAGGGGTTCAACATTGGTGTGACTACAGTGTACATTACCGAAGAAACTGCACCATTCTGGAAAGAAGTCGCCACTGCATAACTAAGGTAAACACCAAGTCCTGTTCCATAGAACAAGGAAACCACACAGAGGTGAGACACACAGGTGGAAAAGGCTTTATACTTGCTTGCTACAGAAGATATTCTCAATAAAGTGGAGATTATTTGAGAATAAGAGTAGAGGATGCCAGTGACAGGAAACACAGCTACAACAGTAGTCATGACATACAGGAAGATGATATTCATGAAGTTGTCAGAACTGGCAACTTTTATAACCTGAGCTAAGTCACAAAAGAAAAGTGGAATTTCGGTGCCTGTGGAGAAGGTCAGTTTCATCATCAGTAGAATATGAATCATAGAGTCACAGAATGCAATCATCCATGATATCAGAACCAAGAGCCCACAGAAATGAGAGCTCATGAATGCAGTGTAGTTGAGGGGGTGACAGATGGCCACAAAGCGGTCAAATGCCATCACTGTCAGCAGAAAACTATCCATTCCAGAAAAAAGTATAAAAAAATATACCTGAGTAAGGCATCCTTTGTAGGAGATACCTTTGTTTTGTGTCTGGATGTTCACTAACATTTTTGGGACTGTGGTGGAGATGAAACAGACATCCACAAAGGACAGGTTACAGAGGAAAAAGTACATGGGGTTGTGGAGGTGGGAGTCAGTGATGACAGTCAGGATGATGAGCAGATTCCCAACCACTGTTATTAGGTACATAAATAGAAAGATTCCAAGGAGGATGGGCTGCAGTTCTGGATCTTCAGAGAGGCCAAGAAGAAGGAACTGTGATATTTCTGTGTGATTTTGTTTTTCCATATTACTGATTTTATCCTTGAGAAACAAGTAAATGTTCAAAAAGTCATCTAATTGCAGTGCTAGAAATTATCACTTTATAGTATGACATTTGGATAAATTTCCCTCACCTCCTTGGTCTTTTTCAATGATCTACAATGTTTTTCATAAAGGACAGAGAACTCAGCTCACATCTAGGTGTTTATACATATATATGTATATATATATTTAATTTTGTTGAATTTCATTATAATCTCTCCAGTTTACAGCTATTCACTTGTGTAAATTATTTTTGTACTTATGGAGATAAACTAATTTATTATATTTTATAACATTTCCAAAATATTAAAAAAATATATTTTATATTTTCCCTTTGATAACATCTACATTTCCTTAAAATATTTATAAAACTTGTATCTACTTATATGTAAGTAGTTGATTACAGTGACTTAATTTTTCCCTATTATTTTAATTGCTACTATTCTATTTATTTCTAATTAAAAATTCTCTTGTATGCATCAGGGGCATCAGTATAACACCATTATCATTGTTGTTATTATTTCTCTTTAATTTTATTAGTATTAGTGTTTTGCCTGTATGTATGTGAGTGCACCTGTATCACACAATACCTACAGAGGCCAGAAGAGGGCATCGGATCTTCTAGAACCAGAGTCACATATGGTTAGCCACCATGGTGTGTGCTGGGAACCAAAACTGCCTACTCTGAAATAACAACCAGTTAAGAGCAGTCAAGCAGTTCTTAATATCTGAGCCTTCTCTCCACTCTTTATCATTTATCTTTTGGTATTTTAGATATATTCATGTCCAAAAGTACAGTATGGTGGATGCTGGGAACCAAAACTTCTTACTCTGAAATAACAACCAGTTAAGAGCAGTCAAGCAGTTCTTAATATCTGAGCCTTCTCTCCACTCTTTATCATTTATCTTTTGGTATTTTAGATATATTCATGTCCAAAAGTACAGTATGGTGGATGCTTAGCGTACATGGTTCTTGAGGCTGACTTAGTTGTAGTAAACTTAGTAGTAGTAGTAGTAGTAGTAGTAGTAGTAGTAGTAATAGTAGTAGTAGTAGTAAAATGTTGTTTTATGAATATGCACCTTTGAAAGTCATATAAACTCACCTTAATACAAATATTACACTTCTCTATTAGTAACTATGCACTTCACATTAGAACGAATAGACTATTAAATTACCTGATGCTGTAATTGTTTTATTGTGGTTCCTGTTATGTACAATGGGCACTTAATAAAGGCACACATCTTGTCTTATCATCACTAGTACATCCTTCCACAGTGGAATTCTCATTATTATAAGTAGGCAGATCTGGTGACTCTTGTGAATGATACATAGCATTTCAAATAAATTTGAATCTCCCATGGATCCTTCTCTCCTAAAACGATTTACAGGTGAATTCTTCCAATGTGTATGAACATAATGTGGGTTACATAGAGAAGAGGAAGAAACTATACCACATCTTTATTAAAATACAAACGCTGCTCAGATGGAAATCTTCTTAACTAAGTACGTATTGTATTGAAAACAATTGAGATAATGGACTCAATACATGTTTGTTGTATTTGTTTAAAATGGATAAGGTTTCAATTATGCAAATCATCTTAAAATATTGAAAGCTAAATATAAATTGGAAAGTAAAATAACACACACAATCATAATGCATATTTTTCAACAATAATGAAGAAAAATTATGCTGATTGCAAGACAAAGGATATTACTATTATCACATTAAGTAAGATGAAACAGAACCAAAAGACAAATATTGCATGATTTCACTAATAATCTAGATATGCATTAACATGTAATATAGATATATTTTCTGTCTATCTCTGTTGATCTCTGTGTCTGTCTATCTGTATACAGAGAGAAAAGAAATGAGAGAGATAAATGGAAAGAGAAAGACATATCAATTTGGAGAAAGGAAAAAGACTAGGTAAAAGGAAATGAGATGATATAATACTGGCAATGATTTGCATATGTTAAAATGCTATAGCGATCCCTATGTTTTATACATTTAGTATGCCAGAAAGTACATGGGTTGGCAATGGGGAGTGCAGATAGGTGAGAGGGTCTAAATATGATTAAGATGTAGTGTAAGAAATGCACCAAAGTCAATAAAAATAAAAATAGAAAAAAGGGGTTAAAAAAAAGATGAAATTCAAGAGGCTGGAGAGATGGCTCAGGAGTGAAGAGAACTGGCTGCTTCTGCAGAGGGCCTGTACTTGATTCTCAGTTCTCACATGGTGGCTATCAACCATCATTAACTCCAGTTCCATGGGATCTGCCACCCTCTTCTGGCTTCGGAAGGTTTTGCATGACACAGAAGCACTTACATGCATGCAAAACACTCATACACATAAAATAAAAATAAAAATAAATACATAAAATGGAAAAAAAGATGAATGTAAGGTTGGCAGTCCATGATTATGCCTATTCAACGGAATTTAATAATTAAAAAAATCAGAAAGGCATCATTGTGAAGCAATTTATTTTTTATAGTTGAGGCTAGACTGCAATGCAATATGAAAGACTAAGCTAAAAGAGGAAACATGAACCTTTGTTAAGGTTTAAGCAAAAATACGGGGTGGCGAGAGGACTCAGTGGTTAAGAGCACTTGCTGCTCTTGCAGCAGACCCAGATTCTGTTCCCAGCACCCACATGGCAGCTAATGACTATCCCATTTCCAGTTCCAGGGGATCCAACTCCCTCTTCTGCCCTCCACAGGCATGGAATGCTCATGGGGCACTTACATTAATTCAGGCAAATCACTCATATACATAAAATTAATAATAACTTTTATAATGGAACAAAGAGTAAACAGTAGACCTCATAGATCAGGAGCTGGATTAAAAGAGGTTCTAGGAGGATGGTGTGATGAAGAATAGAGGACACAGGACAGGAGGCACTGAATATGTGATGCCTGCCGCAGAACTTCCTATAATGTTCCCAATGCTTTTCTAACAGTGTTAAATTTACGTTCATTTGTACTGCTGAGTCTGTGATATTTTGGTCTCACTATTTGACCTTCCATATATTACATAGTTCCTATCACATTGTAAATGTTAAACAGTTGTAAATACTGGACATATTTAACAATAATTGGACCAAACTCTTAATTAACTATAAGATATAAGCAATGTTCCACTCTATCATAACTCTAAATATAGATGCAAAACTGATTCTAAAGTTAAACAATTAGCGTTTATATCTATTTTAAATAAATAATGTGATAATCAAGTATTAGCGATACTGGGACAGGAAGATGGTTAACATAATTCACTATAAAACAAGGTCAATGCAGGGCTGAGGAGATGGCACAGTGGTAAGAGCATTGACTGCTCTTGCAAAGGACCGAGGTTCAATTCCCAGCACCCACATGCTGGCTAAGAACTGTCCTTACCTCCAGTTCCAGTATAATCCACTGCCTTCTTCTGACCTCCGTGGCATTGCGTGACTCAGGTGCACTTATATACATGCAGGCTATACACTTGTACACATAAAACAAAAATAATAAAATTAAAAGAAAAAACAAGGTCAGTGCATATAAATCAAAGTCATGATCACAATGGAAATTGCATTTGAAATAATTTAACAGTTATTACTGTGGTTAGATCTCAAGGATGTACCTACCATGTGAAAAAGAAATATAGGTTATTTTTATGTCAAAATATAATTTTCAAACCACATTCAATGAAAATGAGACATTAAAACAGTGAAGTGTTGATGCCAATTCCCAAATACAACAATGCAGCATAAAGTATTTTTCTACACATTTGGAAGAATTGTTAAAATGATTAAAAATTCCCTGAAATTTCACTGAGTGTTAAATTTCACCAATAATCTCATTCTTGCAAATTCTACTGTAGAAACTAAATTGAAGCACTGTAACAAGAGTCGTGAAAGTAAATTATAAATACTCATTATAGTAAAGAGGAATGGAAAAGGGAGAAGGGCCGAACATAATACAAAGAACACCAAGGGGGTGAATACAGTCAAAAGACATGGAGAAATTTGTAATTTTTTTACAGGTATTACTTACTGGACACATTTAAAACAAAATGAAATATTAAAAAAGAAATAATAGAGTCTTAGGAGGCCATATATGCCAGTAAAATAGGGAATGTAACCTATTTTTTCAAGCAAAATTGATGAAGTTTGTGGATTCAGAAAATCTGATAGATGACTCTAAGTCACACAAATGTATGGACACAAGTTGGAGATGCTCAAGAAAATAAATGAGCTGAAATAAGTTCTAAATTCTAGTGTGACATCACAAAACAGAATGAGTTCTAAAAGAATATATTCAGTGAAAACTAGAGTTCCTCCTTAGTTCCGGTACGGCATGTTCAAGCGCTAAGTGAACAGGACATTTTTGTGCTCATTACTCTACAGGTAAAACCCAGGACTCACTTTTCTCTTTTTATCCTTCTTCATCTACCATCCTTCACCAGGGCACGTTGACTCCCTGAGACAGTTAGCACTGAAGTGTTGTTCTCTATATCATCAGTCCATAGGAAAGTTATTTGGGTTCTCACAGTAGGTGAGATCATAGAGCTTCAGTTAAGTGTCAACAGGGACAATCTTACAGTCTCTAGCATATCAATACTTTAATTATCAGAGCTGTTAATTAAATGTATTGCTCTGTTGTGTTTTAAGACTCCAAACAATTTTGTCCCTTGTGGCACAAAGAACATTACAAAACTGGAAATTTTTAGTTAATTAGTATGTATTATGTATGTATGTATGTATGTATGCAGTAATAAGGAGAAATACATTGATGACTTAATAAGAAAATTACATAATTTGAGTTTAATCTGTAATCATGGGCAGTAACTTTAATTTCTATAAGAAATAAATCAGAGGATGTGTCTCTTTAACATCTTCCTTGAAAAATCTTTGAGAGATTAATAGAAAAGTTTTTGTTCTCAATTTTATGCAGAAAAGGCTTTCTCATGTGTTTTTTTCTTTTTTACTTTTCTGGCAATAA